TATTACCAAATCAGTGTTCTCTAGATACATACAGGATGTATCTTAAGGAAAATTATTTTTACTTCTGCAAGCAGGAAGCCATATAACTCCCATGAAGAGAAAAAGTTACTGCACAGTAATAATAAAAATAATAATCCTTGCATTTGATATAGCGCTTTTCACGTCGGGAGGACGTCCAAAAGCGCTTCACAGAACATACTGTAAAGTGAATTGACTGTATATTTGTGGGCGAACGCGGCAGCCAATTGCGCACAGCAATGTCCCACAAACAGCCGTAGATTGAAAATGACCAATTTATTATTGTTTTTGGTTTTGGAGGGATTATTATTAGGCTCTGTGTGGAGTAAGGAAACTTGCCCAAGGTTTCGCCCTCTGCCTGGAATTGAACTCAGGTCTCTCACTTGCAAAGCGAGTGCTCTAACCACTGAGCTACAGGGCTCCACAGTAGTTAGTTATCGGCAGTTTAAGGATAGGAAATGGATCTCATACAACAAACTTGTGTAAATATAGTGCTTTTTTTTGTAACACACAGATTACATTTAAACATGGATAAACTGGATCCTTCCAATAGGCCACCTGATATCTACCTTAGTCACCTGACACGAGTGTTTGATTACAGTACTTAAATGTATAACTTACTACGGTATTTGTGGGTTTGACATTGTCTCATGTTGAAAAAACATTTAAAAAGATAATGTTCCTATAAAAAAGAGACACTCCTCCTTTGATGTATATATGCTTTAGATATATTCAAAAAACATGTGTTTAATAAAGTAAATATTATTTTTGTGAAATATACTAGTTAGAGAATTTCCTAGGAATTTACCATAAATTATTTCTTGAAAATAACTTGCAGTAATACACAATTCATAATTCTTCAGTGTCAATGTTATTGTGTCTGCATGAACAACCTCTGCTGACAGAAAACAAACAAATAACCACCCACAACATACATTACAATAATAGTTCTTTGGACTGAATTCAAGGCATACTGATCAAATCTTAGGGTTCGGACATCCACCAAAATAGTATGTGATAGATTTTGAATCTCTTGAACAGTAATATTCTTGGATAATTATTTCTCTCTATAATTATCATTTAATTTTCCTACTCTGATATCAGAGATTATTATAACATTACAATCCCATTGTTCTCCCCTATTCCACTTGCAGGCTACTAAAATCCAATATGCACCCATTTTTCACTGAAGAAAGCAAGAGAAAAGTGGTTTCTATAAATTTCCACAACATAACAGATAATCAGGGGATGTACTACAGACGTTTGGTTTTTGGGCTGCTGGCTGGAAGCCCAAAACCAACTCAGGACCACATACAGTACATGTCTAATTCACCCCCAGCCATCCATTATTCTATATAAACGTCTTACAAGGAAAAGTAAAGTGTAAGTAGACAAATGACTCTTGCTTAAATAAAAGACTAATTTAATTACCTCCTCAAAGTGTGTATGCGTCATTGAATGACATACTTTTCATATTGTTTCCTAAACTGCTTTTCTGCAAAATGAATAACTGGAGGCATTTCATTATGTAATCAATCATGCGCCACTGGTTTATTTGTGTAAGTTTGGAGACTCCACATTGTAGAGGTTTCAAATATGAACTAACAAAAACAAACATATTACAGAATGGCATGTAAGCACTGTGTCATTCCATTCCACTTCAGAGTCTCTAATGCAGATACTGTATCAGCATTACAGTTACAAGGCATGACTGATGATGCATTCGGGTGCATTACATTATCTTACTATTGCGTAAATTGTTACAAAATAATGTGAATTTATAGATTTATCAGTAAACTAATTATCTACCATCCAATGAACTTATGTTAGGTCACTTTACAACCAGAATCGGATGGGAATAAGATGTCCTTATTAAGGAAGTACAGACATATATATATATATATATGCGTCTTGAAATAATCCTGAAATAATACCTGAAAAAAGCAAACAGTGTTAACTGGAACACAAGGTACAGTGGTTACCTTTGTGTCATCCTCATATAAAGGGAGGGGATTACTGGACACAAAAGGCATTAAATGTCCTTTACATTTTAATGGCGAACCCATTTATTCCCCTGGCTTGATAACGTTTGTCACTTGTCAGGTTCCTGCTCACCTCACATGTTAAAGTTCTTTTACATCCTCCCTCTCATACATCACTGTGGCGTTTAACGAAACTCTAAATATGGAATGATATAGTACGTATTACTCGTTCACTCCCAAGAATCCCAACCCATATCTAAGGATTTTCGCTGGTTGGATGATTTATGCATTTAAGTATAACAGCAAAGTGGTTCTCCTTTTGTTTCAGTGGGAAGTCGCCACGTTGTTCCTATCTTGCGATACAAAATACAAGTTATTTATGCCGAGGGCAGTTTATGGCTGAAACAAACACATCGATTGCGCAAATCAGAGGCCAAGTAATAATTTAAGGGGGGGGGGGGGGGGGGGGCGTGCATGGTGGAATAAAACTGTATCGAACTGAAAATGATCTCCACACACAAATCTGTGGTTCTAAAATGCTATAAAGGAATGAATGATCTCCCTGTGATCATCTGCAGTGGTAGTTTTGAAATGAACCAGCTTTTTTTCTTAAAACACACACATGTTGGAGCCTGTTCAACAGAATAAAATTGGAACAAAGGAAGGATTTTGAAACTCGGGATGATTTATAAACTAGTGATTTGGTTTGGGTGTGCATGCTTCCAGAGGGGAAGACTGGAATTCTAGAAGCAGATGAGGCACAGACCAAGACATATTTTAGCGAAGCTCAAAGCTGCGATACAAAAGTGTAATGTTACAACGGGGTTTGAGGTTCAAAAGTCTTATTAGACAGCGCTGAGAAGTTTTAGATAGAGCACGTATGCAGGAGGGCTTTCGTTTCATTTCCTGAAGCGTTTTAATAAAACGTTGGCTTGCTTTCCCCCCCCCACCCCCCAACCCCCTGTGTGTAAGTTCAGAGAAGAGGACTGAGTGTTGGGGTAATGAGCTGTACCAGACAATTACCATTCCAGATTCTGTAAAGGGAAGGGGTGATGTTATCTGAATGAAGCGTATCAGTTGAAATGTGTGTAATTGCACTGTCAAACAGCTGAAAAGTACTCCCCTTCAGCTTATTGCCACTTCGAAATGAAATTCTTTCTCTGGCATGGTTATGCCTGATATGCAGGCATCAAAGAGGAGGCAGCAGGTCGCAGCCCGGGGCCATACACCTTTTAACAGAGATAGCTCAACGGGTTGTTGGGCCAGTGAGAGGTGGGAGGATTCGGAGAATTTTCTTTTAATGTCATTTTTGTTTTTTCTTTTTTTTTTGTTGGCAAAAAAAAACACGTGCAGTCTAAACTGCATTTTTCTGCTCACAACGTTTCGATTTCAGTGGTGAGATAGATCCTCTTTTGGTGCAAGTGTCAGCAGAAGGGACTTAAGCAAGTAAGAAGGAGACTTTGCTGCTGTGACAAGGGTGGGTGGGTGTTTGCGCTGCTCTTATTCAGTGAAGCGGTACCTTATGGATTGTTTCCGTTTTTTTTTGGGGGGGGGGGACACGTCTTATGTACTGTATAAATATGGTTCAGAGGATCACCAAGGAAAATGGGTCCCCCGTGACTGGGGACTTAAGTCATCATCGGAAGAAATAAAAAGATGGAAAAACGCTCCTAATGCGCTGCTTCAAAGATTAAAAACTCAATTCCAAGCAATTGAACTTTCTGTGGGAATTAAAATCCCCTCATTCAGTCTCCAAACCTAGTAAAAAAAATCACTCCCGAATTTATAGTCTAGACAGAAGCGATCAGATATTTCCTTATACACATATATATATGTGCAAGGAAATATCTCACAGCTACATATATCTATATGTATATATAAACAGAATAACTTAAATATACTCGTGTCGCATTGTGTACTGACAGATACATTCACAGTAGCAAAAGCGACATCATGTTTTGGATTAAATTTTAAAATATACAATCTGGCGATGAGAAGGGTTATTGTCCCTGGAAACAGACATAGCAGAGGGGCTGGTCTACAAACAGAAATGATTAGTTTGTTTACTGGCTGTCGGCAAATGTTTAGAATTCATATTTAAAGCATTGCAGGACCACACAGAAGCTCTGAACGTGGAATCCAGCGACATTTAAACACAGAAAGCGGGTGGAGGTGGGGGGGGGGGGGGGTCAGACCTAGCATTGAAAATGTCCCCCCAGAAGTTTTAAAATCAATACATTTGAGTGTGCTCCCTCTGTGTGCATAACAAAAAAAAAGTTATGTACTGCCTTTGCATTCACCTAAAAAAAAAGTCGGGTAAAGTTACGAGCATTACAAACCAAATATTGCTCAAGGCAGAATCAGTTTACTTAATAGCTTAAATGTTTCAGACTTGAAGTCGATTCCCCCCCCCCCCCCCACCCCTTTTCGTGGTATACAGTTTAGGAGATATTTGGAAACTGATGTGGAACAAAAAACAAATGTTGCCTGAGGGGATGTAATCATCAATCCTTTTTTTTTTAACGATTTATCCAAGCTGACCACAAGCCTGAAAACTGTAACAGGGTCGGGAGTAAAACTGCGGAGTGTAGCTGCCTTTTCCTGAGGCTCTCTCTGATCTGTTCTCTCCACCTGCACACTCCAGGGAGAGAGGAACTTTTCTGGCAAAGCTCGCAGTTTCTTTTGGAGTGCTGAAGCCTTGCTGTATATATCCCTTTTGGGCCTAAGCAGGCTGGATTTCAACATCTCCAAAAAATTAAGCCTACATACAACCTTGATTAACATCTGCTAACCCTCTTGCTTGCCTTCCTTCCATTTGTTTGACAAACAATGAATCGCTTCGAGGCAAGTCATGGGGGAGGGAGGAGAGAAAGAGAGAGAGATGAAAGGGGGGAAAAAAATCCCAGTACAGTAAACGCTAGTAAGAAATATACTGCTACAAAAAAAGGGATGATTTTTTTTCTTAGGTGGGGGGGGGGAAAAAAACAGGCAAAAGTTTAATCAGGGGAGAAATTCGGTTTAATATATTAGCTTGGTACATGAACAGTTTGTTTTAATAGGGACCTAATATATATATATATTAAAATATCATTTTTGGTTTTCTTTTTTTCTTAAGATGTTCTTCTCAGGGTTTGAAATGCCTGTGAAATGAATAACATGCAGCCCACGATTACTATATAAAAAGTAGGAAGATGGATCAAGCCATTTGGAAGCGACATTTCTCCTGCCCCCCCCCCCCCCCCACACACACACACACTCACACACACACACACTTCCTTTATGGGCTATTCTTTTGCCATTCAACAGTTTTCTGGAATCAGATCACCTATTTTCACCGAGAGTCTTAGCATGAGAACTCGATTCATTCACACGTTGTTCATATGTATATCCTAACCTCCGTTTTACACCTTTTGCAAATCAAGTTCTTTCTCCCCATAAAAACAATGACAACACCCACGCTTAAAGCGCTTCCTTTCGAATAAAGAGACACATTAGTAAGCCTCCTATATTTCTAATTGCGTATACATTTACACACTGTGATCTTACTATTTTAGAAGTGAAAAATAATAAATAGTACACATTTATGAACAAATTTTCTATATTCCCATTTAAACATATACATTCTAATATACAAAGTTAACAAAGACGTTGTACAGAAATTTCTTTTACGTTTAAAATATGACTCACTTTTATTTTTTTTCCTTTTATATGTAGTTATAAATATATTTTGTCAAAATATATGATCATATGGTCAACATTTGCACATAAGTCATAAATAATGTAATGGTGAACGTCTGTGTTACGAATAGTGTCCAGACATCATAAAAAGTTAATTATTAGTAGTATTTCCCCCCCCCCCTCCTCAGTGGCATCCGCATCCCTCTACTACCATCTCCTGATAGTTTTTCAGCACAACTTTGTCATATTCGTCCAAGTAGAGCATTGAGATAGGGCTGAGTTCTGTGGGGACGCAGCAAGCCTTGGGGATGTTGGAATTTACAGAATTTACAAGAGTCTGCACGATGGCGTGGTTGGTTGAATTCAGGTGATCTGCCAGTGGGAATGGGCAGTCACCGTGACAGTAAAAGGCTTGGTAACCAGGCGGTGCCACTATCCAGTCATTCCAGCCCACATCGCTGAAATCCACATAGAGCGAGTGCCTCCTGCAGTGTGATTTGTTTTTCTTGCGTCTCTGGCTTTTGTTGCTTCGTTTCACCCTCCGGGTGAGAGCGTGTCCCTTGCCATCGTGGCTGAAAGTTACAAGCAAAGGCCTGAGCTGCGACCAATCTCCTCCTCCTCCTCCTCCTTCTTCTCCTCCTCCTCCTCCTCCTCCCCCCACTCCACCCTGGTGCAGCGATCTGCTAATCCTAACGTGCGAGCCTTGCTGGCTTCTGGTCTCGTTCAGGTGAATCACTTCGACCGCCAGCCCGTGGTTGGGTTGTTTGTGCATGGTCCATCTCAGCACGGCCGGGCTCACGTCAAAGCTCTCCCACTGCGTCCTGTTCTGGTGGACCAACCTGGTATCCAAAAGTCTGGTGATGAGGTCACCCTTCTTGCTGGGGGCTCTCATGATCTCATGGACGTTGATGCGGTGGAAGCCCTCATCCCAGTTCAAGGCGCTGTCGATCCGCTCCCGGTAGACTCTCAGCTCGGCAGAAGAAAGCACTTCGTTCTCGGGAACCGCGCTGATATTAAACACAAAACGAAACGTGAAGTCTTGCCTCCAGCCTGGCACCAACTCCAAGTGGTCTGTTTCGCAACAGGAATGAGAGACAACCCTTAAAAATCTGATGTATCGGTATAATGGGGGGAGAGAGAGAGAGAGAGAGAGAGAGCGAGAGAGAGAGAGGGGTGGGTGGGGGAGAGGAGAGGAAAACACACACACACACACACTCACAGACACATACACGCACTCACCCAGGACCAAAATAAAATACCCCTTAATTAAACGATATGATAAAACCAGACTAAACCGAGGCCAAACAAAGGTAACGCCCACCTAAAGTTACACAAAAACTAAGTGTTTCGACTCAAAATCGAAGACTTAATAAAGCAAAGCCAGTTTCACACAAGAGGTGAGCACTAAACAGCAAAACCCTGGCTCATTTCTTAAAGTACTTTTGTCACCTGCCACGGTCGCTTTCCCCTCCTCACCCCTCCCTCTAACTATTCCCAACTATTAATTGAAACGAAACTACAATCCTTTCCAGGTTACAGAGAGGGTAGAGCGCCACTTAAATACATTGCACCCATCAACAATTCTCCACTTACTTTCTTTTAAGTCTCCTCCTAATAATACCTGTGCCCGGATTTTTGAACATGCAAATGTTCTGTGTCTGGCACTGTAAATACACAATCTGCCTGGCCTCCCCCACCCCCCCCCCCCCACCCCCTTAACAGAAAACATGCTGAAACCCCTTCTGCGTGTACTCCATTCTTTGCCCCCACTGTTGGGAGAGTTATCATCATCATTATCATCATCAACAACAACCGCACGAGTGTTAAGTTAATGGCTCGAAAAAAAACAACGACTTATTAAGAGTGAGAACCTCAACACTCGTTGCTATTATTGTGTGTATATATATATATATATAAATATATCGCCAGGCCAAAAAGACCAAGTTAGTCTGTTTAGTACCTTCGTGATGGAAGCCCCTCACGGTGTTAGCCCGGCTCGCCGATATCTCGGGATAATCGAAGTTGATGTCGTGGGTGATCTCGTCCCCAGACTGAAGCCTGTACAGATCCAGCATGTACTGGGGAATGACGGCAGATTTGCTGGGCTGTGGGCGTCGTTGCAATCCGAACATGTTAAGTAAAGTGGCCTCGAATTCCCGTAGCAGTTCATGGTTTTGCGGAAAGCGACGTCCACCCGCCTGGTTTTGCTCAGCGAACTTCTTCCTTCCTTCCTCGGGTATCAGACTAGCATTACCTCCCAGCAAGACTTGGCATAATAAAATTACCATCAGCATTCGGTTACCAGGAATCATGGTGTCTCTGCGGAGGGCAAAAAAAAAAACAGGCGAAAAGGGAGCGAGAATTAGAGTAATCTTCAATCAACGCCCCAGAGAGAGCGAGAGAGAGAGAGAGAGAGAGAGCAACACACACACACACACAGAGAGAGAGAGCGCTACACAGAGAAAGAAGAGAGTGAAAGAGGTATAATTACTTGGTCTGACTCGGTTACAGTTAAATAGCCCATAATCAGTCAGATAGCACCATCATGTTACTCTTTGTGTTCCTGGGAGCTCAGTAATTACCCCGGGCTGCTTTCTTTAGAAGTAAACAGTGTAAAATATTTCCAATGTATTTCTCCCCTTTTGGCTCAATAGTGCGTGTGTGTGTGTGTGTGTGTGGGGGGGGGGGGGGGGGGGGTTGGTCAAAAAAGATGTGGGAGATTAAAAGTTCGTACTGGACTACAAAACCAGTGTATAAACCCCCACTTTAATCCGGTTCGACTTTTTCCCGTTGGCTTCCCTTTCGATAGCCTCGTCTCTGCTGCGTGTGGCTGGAAAGACTTTGCTTCTTGACAGCAAAGGCACAAGTGCAACAAAAAAAAACACCACACGCACACCCCCCCCCCCCACACACACACACACAGACACAAGAGTGAGGAAAACCGCTCTCCGCATCCAACAGAGGGATATGGCTAAACCGTGTAAGAAAGGATCGCTCAGTGCAAGTCCCTCAGAAGGGACTGGAAGTGCATGTTGCACATCGTTTTTACGGTGCTCCAAACAAAAAAAAATCCCAGGAATATGAAATCCCCCCCCCACCCCCCCTCCACCCCTCAAAACCCACCCGCCCTCCTCCCCACTTATTTAGGAAGAAAGGGGCTACTCACTGACAGAAAACAAGGCAGGTGAAAACAGTCCATGATTCTTGACAGCCGTACTTGAGACAAATTCTTGAAAAGCTCAGGGACTCTGGAGCTGCGCTCTGCTCGGTTGGGTATTCTGGGATCCCTCCTGGAAGAACATTGGAATAGAATGAGCCGAGACCGTCCTCTTTCTGCGCTTTTCCTCTCCTTCGCTCCGCGGCAAACGTCAGCCGGGCCCCGCCTTTCGCCCGGCGGTCAATCATCGCCTCCGAGCGTCCGCCTCGTCCCGAAATGTCCCACCAAAGCGGCGAGCGGGCTCAAGTGGCGGCCCCCGGGCCGCCTGCCAATCAACCCGGCCCAGCCTCACCTCCCGCTGTCCATCACGCGCAGCCAGACTCCGCCTTCTGGCCTGGACACGCCCACCCCCCAACCCCCCCCCCCCCACCACCACCCAGAGGCCTGGTCTGGAGCCCCGCCCCGCTCCGGCTGTCAATCAATGCGAGGCACCAGAGCCCCAATGGACTGGGGCTGATGCCCCCCGAAAGAACACGCACAAAAAGAGGGGGTAACCAGCGTTACGAGGCACCGTGCGCCACCGCCGCCTACCAAACAAACACTGCCCACGGTGGGGGGTGGGGGGGGGGGGGTGGTGGGGGGGCTCTTGGAGATCCAGCGCGAGTCACTTGCAGCGCTGCCCGCGCGGGGAACCCATCCCACCCGGGGGACAAGTCCCAGAGCAAAAGCCGCCTTTGCCCTTCTTTTCCTCCATCCTCACGAGACGCACAGAAGTCCTCTCACCCCAGAGGCCGACACCACCCCATCACCAGGGTCTCGCTCACACAAGCTTTTTTTTTGGGGGGGGGGTGGGGTGGGGGGATAAGCCCGCGCCGCGCCGCCCGCAGCGAGATCCCGCAAACCCGAGCGGAACTGTGCGAACTTTCTTGAGTGTTGCAGACCTCAGGTTCACATTTTAGCAACAAACTATTTCAAAGGGAAACGACTGCAGCTTCTCGCCATCACATAGCTCCGGGAAACACTCCCTCCCCCCCCCCCCCCCCCACCCCCCCATCACACACACACACACACACACACACGAAAAGAAAAAACCTCCTGTTATCTCTCAGTGCTTTTAATCTGCGTCGCGAGTTTGCAAACTTACGGGCTCGTCACCCGAGGAGTGCAAACTCTTCCAATCGTGCAGTGTGTTAAGATTGTGGCATCAACCTATCTTCACCAACCTGTCGCAAACCATATTTTGACACCCCCCCACCCCCCCCCCCCCCCACAAAAAAAATGCATGCAACAGCGCTGTTTAAAGGGATGGATACACACCAAAGCCCAGAATGGCAGAAGCATTTGTAGAATTATCCAAACACACTCACCCACAAGCGCAATGCATATGGACAAACATTTTATAAGTCGAATGCATTCGGATATAAATCAACAAATCAGCGCATTTTCACTTCCAGGTAATTCGTTAGAACGACACAATAGATCACTAACATCCCCCATTCTCACCGTTATCGTTATGCAAAGAATGGAATTGTTAGTCAATGAGCCACTGTGTCCTTTATAAATTTCGGATCTCATCGTAAACAAATATTTCTGGCCCAAACTGTCTCCTGATTATATGTGCTGTGCACTTGTTTGAAAATGTAAAGCTCCCCTTCTAATCTAAGTCTGTAACATTGCTGAGACAGGGAATCGACTTGAATGGGGAACTGCAATGTAACTATTATTTTAGTCCCTGTGCATTGTATCCGCGGTAAAATGCACTGCTGTTGGGTCTTCGAATAAAATATATAGGTATATGAGCCGGACTGTGCAGAAAACAGCAGCCGTTTTCATAAGTAGCCACTGGGGGGGGGGGGGGGGGAAACTCTGCGTTTAAAATTAAATAAGTTCTTAGCATGCTGGACAAAGCACTGTGTTGAATATCATCTCTCATTCTGTAATAAAATGCAACAGATGTGGCCATACTGTAGTAATAAGAATCAGGCATGTAGCCCAAATAACATATGCGTTCATTTACACTGCAGAGAAAATACAATGTATGCAACAATCTGACGATGTGCACGCACGGCGGTAAACACAGGTCAAGAATGGAGAGTTAACGACGGACTTACCATACCGCAGTGCTGAGGATTTATTGCATGTTCCAGTGTAATCGTGTCTAATTAGTTCGCACGATTGCCGCTAGAAGCAATTCGCCATCCTACTCGCTCTCATGGACTCTTATCGTCTCGAAACGGACAGAACCAGCAGCACGCGTGCTGCCTGGTGCACAAGAGCAGCCGCGCACAGAAATGCTCCTAAAAGGTCCATTTTAAGAAACATAGCTGAGGATCAATGGGAATCCACCGGACCAGTCTGCGGGCCGCCCAGTCCCATGCAATTTGTTGGGAAGAACGCACGTCACTGGCATTTTAACACGAGTTCAGAAAGCCTCTAACTCTCTGATCTCTGTAATATTTCACTTCCTTCCCCCGCTGAAGTGGGTAATAGTTAAGACATGTGCACAGCAGAGGTCCTGCAAGTTGTCGGCGATTCGTGTGTTGCATACAGTGTTTATACAAATATATATTTATGTATAAACACGTAAGTATTAAAGAACCCCCTTTCGTTGTCTAATATAGTTTACATCACATCGACTGGAAGGACGTTATCCTTTGCTAAGGGAGGGCAACAGCATTTAATTCAGCATCAATTAGGTTGGTTTTTTTTTCGCAGCTACACAACTGTCCCGTGGGGCAAAAAAAGGAAAGTTAAGCTGGAAAGAAAAAGGAAGGCAGAGTTTACACATAGACAATTGCATATCAGGAATGGAAAAAGACGGTAGAAAGGTAAAATTGAATGGATATGAAAAGTGCGTGAGACCTAGTTTGTACAAAAATGACTGAATAACAGGGCACCAGATCTCGTCTGGATATGGCCATGATATAGGGTGAAAATAAACGTTTACATCACATGGTAATCTGTACTCTTACATCCTAAGTACTGGGGCATCTTCGAATTTGCACTGTAGGTTAGGGCCCACAAAATGAATTGACACAAATATTTATGGTATGAACAGTTTAGAGTCCAGCATTAACTTTTTTAAAACTCTTGTGCTATTTGAACTATTGGGTCCTCAAGTACAGCTACAAGCAAACATGTTTTCAGGACGGTGGCATTGAGTAGTCCATTGGCATTTTTCTTTAAACCCTAGAAAAGCAGAGCACGGTGCATGCTTACTTATTGTTTTGCTCGGTCCTTTAAGAAACTGTTCTGTAGCATTTAAAAAACCCACAAATTTCAAAGTTTAAAAAGTAGCTTCGGAGTTAAAGTACAGCAGCTACAAAGAGATTACTTCTTGAAGCAGAAATTATTTCACTTTGACACCAAATGCACAATATACCTACTGTATAACACAATATATGATAGTTATTTAGGCAGACCTAAACCCCAGTTAATCAAGGAAGGGCCAAAGGAAACTCTTTGTATCATATAACTCGGATCAAATGGTTTCAATTATGTTAAATGGTCCTATGATTAGTCAGTGTGCTTGTAATTTTATCCAATAAGTAGGTCACATTTATACATATTCATTCTTTGCTCTTATCAGGGGATGAATGATCTCCTACCAACAGGGTGTAACTTCAGTTTAAAAACTGTGTGTATGGGTGGGCGTGGGAGAGGGCTTGGGGTAAGTAGTGCAATTAAATTGTGGGTAAAATAATACAAATACTGTAGATCATAGTTTATTTACTAAATAAGTAATATACTGAATTGGCAGAAGTTTGTGAATGCGTCACTTCCCCCCCAGTCAGGGAGTGGTGGGCAATGCAGATGACTTGAAAGAAAAAGAAATTAGGCAAAATTAAATTAAAAACACACCCAGGCTGCTGCCACCCACAGAATCAGACCCAGCGCAAGCAACCAGCTTCAAGAGAAGATGCGTAAGAGGAGAAAATCAGAGGGGCTAAAATGTTAAAGAAACACAGATGAGTGCACACACACACACATATACCCTGCAAAGGTTGCGTGCGAGAGATCAGCATCTGCTCCAGCACAAACCAATGTCACTGGCCGGGATAGCTCATGTTCAGCTGAATGTTCTGCAGTGAGCATTTCCTGCCAGTTCTAAGAACATAGCCACACAAATCTGATGGTGATAACTGTCCTTTAAGTTTTCCAAATACTTTATATTTCCTGATCTGCAAATGCTTCCAGACCAAGAGAGGATAATCTGCGTGCTGCTCCATTGGTGGTGTGACATTTGGCAAAGTGTGGATACAGTTAGAATTCACGTCATAAGATCATGTTGCTATCATCAGTACTGTAACGCGAAACAACTAGGATATCACCCGGATATCATCCTCTTAGCTTTAGTTCAAAATCAACAAACCTCCAAATTATTTATCCGAAAGAGTCCAATCACTCTCTCTTTATTCAGTGTTACAAAGTTCAGGCGAAGCTACCTGATAAATACTCAAGTTTTACCATTTCAAGACCCATTTTAGATTCTCCCTAATTTTATGATGACTCATATATGTAATTTAACAAATTGAAGGGAACCCCACCCTGGCTATACAAATAGAGAGCATTAGATACTGTTTTGGTCGTCTGGGTGTCTGACGCATGTGGAAACCCATCACCATGCTTAAGAATATCCAAACCAAACTGAGAATTCCATGCATGCCACAGAGGGCTGGCTCGATTCTGACATTCCCTTGCCAACATGTCGCCTTGGAGTCAGTTCAGTTTCAAGGAGACCCCACTTACCTCCTCCCCAAGGAGGTTAGTCACTAGTTGGTTGTTTTACATCCAACAAGCATTGGTTTGAGCCCTCACTAGAGAGATAGTTGGTACCAGGAACACCCAGCAAGCTTCCCAGAGCATTATATGGAGTGGCAAAAGCTGGAGATTCTTAATATTGTTTGACGAATGTATATGGCGCCTTGTTTTGAAGTTTTAAGCTATCAGTCCTGTGTCCACCTATGTGTAGAACAAGAAAAACTTAATACTGAGTATAAAATGTGGGATGAAGTTGAATCCTGGTTCATTCCACTGGTAAAATAAATGTTACACTTTCTTTCTCTCTCCTCCCCGTCTCCCCCTCCCCCACCCTCCCAAAAAAGAATCTGCTTCATGCTACAGGTAACAATGTAGACACAATACCAACGTAGAGCATTGTACATTTTTTGAAGTTATATTTATTTCTGTGGAAGCTATTATAACAGAAATGTTGGCATGACATGAAAAAAGTACTGTTGGACGTTCTCCATGTATCATCCCAAAGCTTCCCCAACTATGAAAGGAGCTTTGAGTTTAGCAGCATTCCAGATGAATTTATGGATCTCGTCAACTACTATTACCTCTTTCCTGTCCTTTATCCTAAGTAGAAAATACAGGATTAGAGATTAACATTCTTTTATGTAAAAGAAAAGATTGTATCTTATTCAGCGTGGTTAGCGTCTACCTTTATATTAGTACAGTACATTGTCTGCAATTTATTACATGACATAAGATAGGAACACATTATTTAGCAAATAATCAATTTGAACAGAACAATCAGCATTATTCACAAGCTGTATTAGCACATCTAGATTATAACTATACAGCTCTGATCATTTGCTTCTGGAAGATTATTTGTTGTGTTTGGCTTTTTACTAGACATCTCATTTTGAATCAGCTCAAATATATATTTGACTCGTGTCTGCAGAGTACATTTAAGAGTACTGCAACCATAATGTTGCTGATCTGTACAATACTGTATTGCTGCTTTGTGACGACTGTGCAGAGTTACAAGGAGTGAACGGTCAATCTCTTTTGGGACAGTGTAGCTTACCAGTGATTTATACTGGCAGTAGCAAATATCTCCACCTTAAATGACCTTATTTGCCAAAGCTGGGTAACGCTATCAGAACAGTCTAACCTACACTGCTCTTTTTCTGTCATCTTGGAGTTCAGCACTTTAGTGAATTGAGGATTTCCAAAGCCTCGGGCCTGATGCTGGGTGTTCTCCAGAACCAGCCCTGCTCCCCATAGAGTTAAACATCAACTTGAAAAGGGGATGATAAGAATGTCAGTCATGCACAGATCACCCTGTATATTCATAAGACAAAAAAAAGTTTTGGAGAAGTCATACCTAGTACAAAAGTTCAAGGCCAAAGGATGAACTTTTAAAAGCCGCATACGAGATTTAAATTTCTGGTGTCAACAGAGGTATCGATGCATCCTGGAGACAGAAGATGTCAAACTACAGTACTGAGCGAGTTTTGTTTAACATAGCGAGTTCTACGCCTCCCATTCCCTTCAAATAAACTCACGATTTCCTCGGGGGACAAGATGTCTGAAGGGTGCATTGTAGCAGGAGGAGTAATTCAGAGCCATCAAAGAGTATGTGTATGATGGACAAGCCCTTATCCAGGAGAACTAGTTTAGCCCCTAATTAGAAGTTAATTGCAGCTCTTGATATTAGATACAGCAGGAATTTAAATGCTGGGACAAAAGGGAGAGAAGTAACTACAAAGCACTAATTTAAGAAAATAACAATAACAAGTGCTGAAACATTTTGTTAAAGTAAATAAGGCGAGTTTGTGTTGTCGACCCAAAAACTTGGATCTTTTCACGGAATCCTGCTTCCTCAAGAGGTTTTATTGTTAGTAATGGTGAGCTGGGCTATCAGAGGTTGGATTCCTGACTTAAAAGATTATCTTTTGAAAAGAGATAATTCCAGCATCTCTTTCCACAGTTTTTAACCGACTGCTTCAACCAGTTGGGTCAGGCTCACAGGAAGTACACTGGCTATCTTTACCAATCTGAGTAAAAATACCCCTTTCCATACACAGTACAGGCTGTGACACCACATGTTCATCTCTCCTTTTTTGCTGCTTTTACTGAGAAGACTTTTCTTTTGGAATATTGTCCATAGCAAGATTTCCGTTCTTTGTGAATGAATTTGTGATATCGTTGTAAATAATTACACCTGATCACAGTGCCAAGGATATCCCTCTTAAAAAACTTCAGCTTGTACGAAAAATAAATAGTGTGAACTGAATCACAGTTAAAATCTACTAATGAAATGCTCACCACCTGCTTGGAAAAAATGTAACGCTGTGTCACAATGGAATCAGGAGCCTAAAAATTCTCAATGTCTTCATTTTAAGATTTGGAAGCCAGATTTTCGCAGTTCACCAAAAGAACGGCAACAAACAACTTTGAAATTAAGACTGGATTTAAGAATTTTCCAAATTTCTGAACAATTTTAAATTTGAAGATTATGGATTTGTGGCCAAACTGAAGGATTTTGGTCCATACTTACAGTGTAAATGCTTTCTA